GGTATTCACAACGATTAGATTGGTTAGGTGTTGGACTTGCTATTATTACTGTTATGGTTATTGTTATTTTGAAAGTTAAAGGAGGAATTGAATCAGGAGTAGCAGGTGTTGCATTAATGAATATTACAACGCTTGGAGGATTTATTACAGATTTCTCACAAAATATATTAGAAGTAGATATTGTTATGCAATCAGTAGAAAGAGTATTAGTGTTAAAAGATATTCCTGTTGAAGAAACAAAAGAGAAGAAAAGAAAGTATCAAGAAATACCAGAGGATTGGCCAAAAGAAGGAAAGATTGAATTAAAGGGATATCAATTTAGATATCGTGAAGGATTACCATTAGTTTTAAAAGGAGTAGATGCTGTTATCAATGATAAAGAAAAAATAGGTATTGTTGGAAGAACAGGAAGTGGAAAATCAACAATGATGGCAGGATTGTTTAGAATTGAAGAACCTGCAGGTGGGTCAATTCTTGTTGATGGAATTGATACTACAACAATTCCTATGCATACATTAAGATCAAGAATGTGTATTTTACCACAAGAAGCAACTATGTTTAGTGGAACAATTAGAGAAAATCTTGATCCTACATTCCAAAAGAGTGATGAAGAAATGAAACATGTATTAGAATTGGTTAATGTAAATAAAGAATTGGATTATATAGTTACAGAAAATGGAGAAAATTTCTCACTTGGAGAACGTCAAATGATTTGCATGGCAAGAGCATTATTAAAGGGAGCTAAAATATTAATTATGGATGAAGCAACTGCATCAATTGATATTCAAACAGATATTATGATTCAAGAAATGGTTAGAAAGAATTTCAAAAAATGTACAACATTAACTATTGCACATAGACTACATTCAATCATGGATTCTAATCGAGTTATGGTATTTGATGATGGTCATTTAATGGAAATGGATACTCCAATTAATTTGATTGAACAAGAAACAACAATCTTCAATAATTTGGTTCAACAATCAGGATGTGCTGAAGAACTTAAACGATTAGCAAAAGGAGAAGCATCTATTGCTGAAACATTAAAAGCTGAAGATGCAAAAAAGAAAAAACAAGAAAATGAATCATCAGACTCAACTGAAAAGCCAACAGAATTGATTGACTTAAATACACCATCTGCAAGTCCAATGCCACTTGATGGAACAGTAACCAATAAAGATAAATCCCCATTACTCAATTTAAATACACCAACAGTAAGTCCATTACCACAACATGTAAACGATAAGAGTGAATCGGTAAGTGAAGGTAGTAACAATTCTTCATCTAAATAAATTGATTGATTTTGTTTTAATTAATGGTTTATCATAAAAATAAATGCAATTTCTAAAGGATATTCATTCTTTTGTTTTTTTGTATCATGTTCTTATTAATTACTTACTTAAAGTAATTTTATATTTTATTCTTTTTTAATATCAAATTTTGTTTGTAACAGTTAACAAACATAACAAATTACATATTATTTTTTACTTTTAAAATAAGAGAATGAAATTATTTTAACAAAAGTCTATTCTTCCTCAATTTCTATTGTTCGTAAATAAATTAGTTGTAATCAAATAAAACCATTGTCTTTCATCTTTTTAATACATTGATTTTGAAATGAAAATAATAATTATTAATTATTAACTAACCATTTTAATTATCATTTCTCCTCCATAAAACAACTTTTTTGTCATAAAAACTACATGCAAGAATATCATTTCCAAGGGCATCAGCTCCATATACCATACTGTCGTGTGGCTCATATTTTTGAAATGTTTTTTCAAAAAGCCCATTTGAAGTTTGACAAAATTCAGCAACACCTCCACAAGCACCAGCAACAATAATTCTATTTCCTTGGTCGCTCATTCTCCATCCTGCCCCACCATCAATATGACCTTCCCATAAAGGCTTTTTCCAATTTCTAATATCAAATTCTTTTACAGAACCATCATAACTTCCAGCTAAGAAATTTGTTTGATTTCTCCAAATTAAATCAGTTACCCCTGCATCAAATCGAATTTTAAATATCATATCATCATCTACCCATGCCTTACAATATGTATCATCACTTCCTGAAAGTAATGTTTTTCCATCAATATTCATGGCAACACTCCATACTTCGGCGTCATGACACTTTACTTCTTTAACTGGTTTCCATCTACCATTTCTAAATAATCTCCAATACGATATATAACCATCATTTCTTGATGCAACTAATGTCTCACCACCAACAGAAGTTGATAATACTTCACATTCTTCTGGTATTATTGCACAATTTACTTCTTTCAATTCATCATTTGGAGTAAAAAATAATACTTTTGCATTTGCTGTACATGCAGTAATAAACTTTGTATCACCAACAACTACTGTTCCTAAATTATGTATTGCAGGAGTTCTGTTGTTGGTTAATAATTCTAATTGATTTGTTTCTCTATTTACTTTATAAGAGCAAATTGAGCCAGTTTTTCTTTCATTATATAAATGATAATAACTAATTATAACGTGGTCTTCTTTATACGTATAAATTCCATCAGGTTCAGTTTCAGTGTTTAAAAGGATAGTAGGAGAATATTTATCCATTACTTAACTAGACAGTTCAAGTAATATAAAAAAAAAAGAAGAAGAAAAACAAAGAAACAAAAGAAAAAAATAGGGTTTAAAAAAAATAAAAAGTAAAAGAATTTGCTTTTTCTCATGGACGTTTCTCAACAACATTTGGCTCTTGTTATTCAGTTTCTTGAACAAACAGTTTCTTTACAAAACCAAACACAAAACACACAATTAATGAGTGTTTATAATGAAATAATTCAATATAATGATTATATTCCTTGTTTATTACAAATAATTGCAACACCTCAATACAAACCTTTACAACAAATTGCATGTATTTTTTTAAGACAATCAATTTCACACACTAATATGGATGTATCAACGATTACTGGAAGTATTTTACCTTTATTAGTTGAACGTTCAGTTAGACCAACAGCAGCAAATTTATTATGTAGTTGTTATACTAAAGCTAATGTACAGTATAAATATCAATTACTTCAAAAACTTATTTCAGTATTAAATGAATGTAATGATGTTCCATCTATTCAAGGGTCTTTAGCTACATTATATATGATTTTAGAAGATGATATTGGGATTGGTACAAGAAAAGAATTAGAACAAATACTTCCTTTAATTTATCAAGCTATTATGAATAAACTAAATCATCCAAATGATGAAATCCGTGAAAGTGCTATGGAAGCACTTGCTGTTTCTGTTTTTAATTTATATGATTCAGATACATTTATTCCAACAGTAATTCAAAGGTATAATGATTCTTCAGCTAAAGTAAGACTTATTTTATGTCAAATTATTACTTCAATTACAAATGCTTTTCCTGATGTATTAAAGAAATTTATTAGTCAAGTTATTCATGTTCTTGTTGCATTAACAAATGACCCAAATGAAAGTGTGAGGATTCATGCATGTGGGGTATGGGGAGAATTATGTAGTGTTTATTGTAATGAAATTAAACAAGTTCTTCCTTCATTACTTCAATTATTACTTCCACATACTGTATTAACAGATAGAGAAATAGGTGATATTGGAAATGAAGCTGATGATTGTTTAGATGGTGATGGAGCAATGACTGAGAGAAAGCAAATTGGAGTTTCATTAGATCAGATGTCTATTTGTTATGGAAATGAACTAATTGGATTATTATTACCATTTTTATCTGAACAATTAAAATCAACAGAATGGAAATATAAAGAAGCAGCAATTTTTGTATTTGGATGTATTATTTGTAAAGGATGGAATCCAAATAATCAACAATTTAATCAACAAGTTAAAACAGTATTTATACAAATATTAGATAAAATGGATAATAGTCCATTAATTCAATATGTTATTATGTGGGTTATTCAAAGAGTTGGATCAAATATTGGATTTATATTAACTTTAGATGAAATAAATAAAGTCTATGAAGGAGTTATTCATTTAATAAAAGAAGGAGTACCAAGAGTAAAATATCAATCATTATCAGTATTAAGTGTATTTCTTGATTTAGAATTACCATTTATTCAACAACAACATGCAACAATATTAAATTTAATGTTAGAACATATTGAACCACCAGTATTTGTAGGAGGAAGAGTTATTGATTTAATGTCACAGTTAGTAGATGTCGCTCCAGAACTTTTTGAATTAAATTCAGTATTATTAAAAAGAGTAATTTCTCAATATATTCAATATGCCAGTGCTTTTCCTAATTCACCACAATTAATGGAAAGTGTTGTTTATAATCTTTCATATATTTTACCAAGATTTGGAGATGTTGGTATTCCAGTTACTGTTTCAATGAAAGATTTTGCTATTAATTTACTTAATGCAAGTGAAGGAGATCTTGAAATGCAATCAAGTTGTTTACTTTTATTATCTTCTTGTTTAGCAGTAAACCCAACATTATCTGAAAAAATATTACAAATGGTAGCACAATCATTACCAAAATATCTTCATTATTTAAAAGACTGTATGACAATAGCATCATACGGATTACTTGGGGATTTAATAACATATTCTACAAATGAAATTAAACCAATAATGGGAAATGTAATGAATAGTTTATTATTTGTTTTAGAAAATGGACATCCATCTATTTTATCAAATGTATTATGGTCTTTAGGTATTATTATACAAAGATATACAAATGATATGCAAAGTTATTTTAATTCTATTTATCAACGTTTATTATATCTTCTTCAGAATAATTTATCTGATTTTAAATTAAATACAAAAAGAAATATGTTAATTTGTTTTGCTAGAATTGGTGAAGAGCTTCCTGATTTAGTTGCACCAATAATTGGAAATATTTGTTCTCAATTACTTAGTAGTGTGAATGGGCTAAGTGATAATGAAGCATTATGTACAGTGATATTAGGAGTTGGAAGACTAATTTGTTACAATCCTAAAGTTTGTGAGTCTAGTTTAAATGTAATTCTTCAAATCTTTCAACATTCATTTGTTAAATATGAAGCATTATATGAAATGTGTGATGCTGTTATTATGACTTTAAAACAAACATTTAATACCCCTCAATATTCTGTTATATGGCAAAATTATTCACAATGAATTGATTCTTTTGATTGAAAATTTTTTTTAATTTAATAAAATTCTTAAATAAATTAATGCAAAACTCTTAAAAAAAAAGAATTTCTCTTATGAGAAGAACAAATCAAAAAGCAACTCGTGGAAATCTTTTACTAAAGATGGCTAATGAAGTTTGTTGAATAAAGAATTAATTAGACATTACTTATTCTAACAATCATCTTAATAGTTACAATTAAATAATGAGAAATTAACAACTCATCCAATTGAAATTATCCCTTGTAAGTCTATAAAAAAAGAACAACTACAAATGTGTTTTGAACTTGTCAAAGAAAATATGTTTTCTTTAGATTCAGTATCTTCTTTAGGATGGAATGATCATGATAAAATGGAAGAAATGAAACAAGGAAATGGATTTTATATTCTTTTTAAAGAAGGATTTGTTTGTATTAGGTTTGAGCTGTTTGGGAATGGAATTCAGTGTTATTTATGGGAAATTCAAATAAAGAAAGAATATAGAAGACAAGGGATTGGAAAAGAAATGATGAATGTTATTGAAATAATATCAAAGAAGGCTCATTGTAGTGAAATTAGTTTATTAGTTTTAAAAAGTAATGTTGAAGGTAAAGCATTTTATGATAAATTACATTTTGAAGTAAAAAAACAAGATTCAAAAGACCAAGACTATTGGATTATGAGAAAAAAATTAAATTAAGCTAAATAAACAATCATTGAGCTATTATTTTCATTTCTTTTTAAATACTCTTTTTGAATTAAATACTCAATTGATTTTTTAATCATTAATATTGTTGGAGTAAATGAATTTGAAACTTCAATAACAACTTCATTTATTAAATTTGATATAAGTTTTTGTCTTTCTCTTTTCATTATTTTAATAATTGAACATTGTAGCTGAATTGATCGTTTTTGTTCTACATCTTCATTAATGTCAAGTAATTTCATTTGAGGTGTAGTTTTAATAAGTTTAGTAATATTAGTAACAGTATGTTGTGGTTGATAATTATTATTTATTTTATAAGTATCTTCTGTTTTAATAAGTAATCCATGAGCAACAAGATTATCACATACTTGTAATAAAAATGTTCTATTTTCAATTGACTTTGATAATTCTTCAATGCAACATTCATATTTTGAATGAAAATGATATAATATACAATATTGAATAGTTGTACAATATAATAAAGTTTTATTATTAAAACTAAATGATACTACACATAATGAATGTTCTGGTTCAATACTAATTCTTCTACTTGGAAATTTTTCTAAATAAAATTGTTTAAATGGTTGGAAAATAGCATCTAATGAAGGGGGTAAATGAACAATAGAATTGATTTCATGTTGAGGTAATCCAAATACAACAATATCAAATTTTATTTTCTGTTCAACATTTGACGTATTCTTTTCTTTAAATTGTTTAACTAGTTCTAATGAAGTGATATAATCTTGAATAAGACTTGATATTCTTGAAACGGTAGAAGTTCCAAAATATTGTTTAAGATAATTAACAAAAACATTTATTGTATCAATACTTTTAATTTTTCCTGAAACAATTTTTCCATAGAGAGTTTTCCAGAATAAACTTTCAAAAATATCTCTCGAAGGAAGAAGAATAAGTGTTTTCATAAATTGAATAATTTTTGTTTCATTAAAGTTATCTATAATTTGAAAAGCATATTTAGTCATTATAACATGAATAGTATCACCATTTTTAAGAAGACAATCAGAAGAAGCGATACCTTCTTTTAATCCACTTATAATAGACTCTCCATAAATACTATCAGATTGAATTTCATCAAATATCATTATTGTTTCACATACTTTTTCTGCGTTAAATTCTTTAAAACAATCAAATAATTTTTTGATATATTGTTTACTTCCACTATTACAAAGAGACTTAAAACTATTAATAATATCTTCTTTCAATGAAACTAGATGTAATAGTTGAAGACTTTGCTTTATTCCATGAATGTCAGAATGTTCAAAATATTTCTTTAATCCATAAATGACTTCTTCAATAAATACAAATTTGTTATTCATTTCTTTTCTTAATGTAACTTCATCTTCCTTTAATAGTGTTTGTAATACTTTATTTTCTTTTTTCATTAACTCATTAATTTTCTTAATATATTCACCACTTTGTCTTGCTTCATTAAAATCATTGTTAAAATCATTTCTGATATATTCATTTAACTTCTCTCTAACTTTTTCTCCAAATTGCCAACTTATTACTTCTTTTAAAAAATAAATTAATTCTCCAATAGCAAATGGATAATTTTTGTCTTTTTCTTTAATCTCTTTTAATTGCTTTTTTAACCATTCAATAATATCTGTTTTCTCTAGTTCTTTAATAACACTCTCTCCCCAACATTTCTTTAATTCTTTTTCAAAAGAAATACCAACTCTTAATCTTCTTTGATCTGATAATATACAAAACATTCCTTTAATATTATCTTGTGCTTGTTCAAATTGTTTCTTAACATCTTTAATCCACGCAATTAATTCATGAATATGTTCTCCTTTTGAATAAAAAGGTTCAATGAGTGTTTTAACTGTTTTACTAACATCTGAAATAATAAGATTAATTAATCTTGCCTTTTCTTCTGGATTTGATATAATATATTCACTAAATTGAAAATTTATTTCTACAACCTCTTGTAATTTCATTTTTCTTTCAAACGCTAATGAAACACCTTTTTGTGCTATTTCTTCAATGTTCATTTTCTTTTTAATGAATTATAATTTCTAAGTTAAAGATTGTTTTTTATTAACAAAATAACCCTTTTGAAGTATAATTTATTTCTTTATAATTTTGTTTTATATTACAATACCAAAAAAATACCAAAAAATGGAATAGTCATAATGTTGATTGTTGTGTTATATTTTCAGAAGTTCATAGAACAAATCAATTTATCTTCTGTCAACTCCTTTAAAAAATGCAAATTTCTTTTTGGTTAAGAAAATCATAAAAAATTAAACAGAAAAAAGAAACTTTAAAAAAAAAGGAGTAGAAATAATTAAAACAAATGGCTACTAAATTGGATTTTAACATATTTTTAACACCAAAAGTTTATATATCACTAGCTGTTATAGTTTCAGTGATTATAATATTGTTTATTGCAATATTTGTATTTCAGTGTTATCATAGAAATTGTTTTATAACATTAAAAGAAATACTCATTGAAAGTGATTATTCAACACAACAAATTAGTGTTTTATCTTATAACCTTTGTATGAGAGCACCTTTAGTTTCAAATGAAGGAGATGATTTTAAGAATGTTAGATTAGATTTATTTATTAAAAATGTATTAGAACATTTTGACATTATTTTTTTACAAGACGTTATTGGGGCATATTCAGCTCGAAGAGCACATTTAATAGAAGTTTGTTTATATAAAATTTATTATTAAATAACACTCATTAAAAATTAGTGTGCATATGAAAAAGGATTAACACATTCATTAGTAAGTTTAACTCCAATATTACCTTGTTTTATTTGTGATGGAGGATTACTTATATTAAGTAGAATTCCTTTAAAAGATAGAGATCAATATATCTTTAAATCAAGGATATATCCAGAATCAATTTTATCTCGAGGTATCTTATATTCAAAAATTCAACCAAATGAATCAACAACATTACATATATTTAATACTCAATTACAATCAATTTCTAATAATCCCCTTGTTAATCAAGTACGTCTGAATCAATTAGATGAATTAGTTAAATTTATTTTATCAAAAACTAGTAAAGATGAATATCCTATTCTAGTTTGTGGAGATTTTAGTATTAATGCATTAGCTAAAGCAGAAACAATTATTGATGAAACATTTTGGGAAAGTGGTGAAACTGAAGAAAGTGAAATGAAAGATTCTATTAAATATATTGAAGAACAAACTGATGAGTATGTACAGTTAATAGACAAATTATCAGATATTGGAATTGTTAAAGATATTATTTATAATGGTCTTCATCGTCATCCAATTACTACAGGAGATACATATTTTGATAATAATAATAAAGAACTTCCATTAGAAACAGTATTAACAAAGAAAGAGGATCAATTATCTAAACGATGTGAAGATTATATATTTCTTATTATAAGGTCAAAAGAAATAGAAATAGTAAATCCATATATTCATACATATGATGTAAATAATGATAATTTTAATTTTTTATCATCACATTATGGATTAAGTTGTGTTATTAATTGTTAAGCCATATTGAAATTAAAATATATTAATTAAATTTAAAGAAGTAATTCAATTTGTTTTAAAGAGTAATTGGTTGTTTTTGTATTAATCTAACAATATTACCAGATATTGTATAAATCCAAATAGAATGATTAATTATAAATAATGAACATATTTTTTCATTTATTAATATTTCTTCATTTGAACTCCACTGAGATAAATTATATGAATTATGAAAAGTAATTAAATCATCAGAAATACAACAAATATTTGAACTATTAAATAAAGGAAGAATAAAATCACATGTTTCTTCAATTTCAGATAATAATTTACCTTTTAATGAATAACAAAGTAAATTAGTTGTTGTTACAATAAATAGTTTATTATCACAAAATGTTAAATCATTAATTGGATTATCAATATTAAACTTTAAAACTATTTTCATTGAACTTAATCTAGTAAGAGTAATAATACCTTTTTTACAAATAGTAGCAAGTAAATCATTATGAATATCATATTTACTTAATATTATTTCTCCTTCATGACTTGTAATAATTTTAATTTTACCTAAAGATAAAGGAGTTTTAGAATTAATTTTAGTAATAAACAAAGTAGAATCTTTTGATCCAGTAATTAAATAATCATATTTTTTATTTCTTATAATAGACAAATAACTTATTGTATTTAAATGTAATTTTAAACACAATACTTCTTTTCCATTATCAATTTGATATACATGAATATTATTATCTTCTTTTGATGCAATAAATAAATATTTACCGTCTGAAGTAAAACAACATTTATTTCTTTCAATATGAATATAATTTGGTTTATTAATTTGTATATTTCCATTTATTTTAAGATGATTATTAGTATCTATACTTATTTTAAATATTCCTTTATCTCCAATTACCATTATATCATCATTGTTTATTTGAATACTTTCAATGATTTTACCAATATCTAATTTATCAATTATTTGATTTATTGTATTTGATTGAATAAACATTCTTGGTGGATGTGGTTTATTAAATAATTGAACTGGAACTTGTCCACCAAACATATGTCTTTGTAAAAATAATTCTAATTCATTTTTATCCATTTGATTTGGATCATAATTATCTTCATATGCAGTTGGATAATATAAATTTTTAGCATTTAATGCTTCATTTCCAGTAGATTTATATCCAAAAATAAGATCAATCCATTGATGAAGATGTGAACTAACATATGGTGATTCTAATGCAAGTCTATGTAATGAAATAAATTCTTCAGGAGTTTTTGCCCATTGAGGTAAAGAGACATCATCTACTTGTTGTTTTGTATCAGGTAAAATACCAAAATTAAAATGATTTTCATTTATTAAAAATTCTGGTAAATAATAAAATTCTGGAATTAATTCAATATTACATTGAGTACTTGACATACATGTTTTCCAAGAATGTTCAATTGAATAAAACATTCTTTCAGGTCTATCAAAATGACCATTATTCATTTTAATAAACATAGTTGTATAAGGTTCACATCTAATTAAAAAGAAAAGAACATAATCACAAGCAGAATAAAATGTAGTATAATAATAAGGTATTTGATCTTTTTGAATACCATTTTCACCAAATAATTGATTAAATTTTTCTTGATCAATTTTAAAACGTTCAGGATTAATACAAGGAATTGGTAATGAAAGATCTCTATAAATATTTTCATCATTTAAATTTAATGATGTAGATTTATAATCTTTTAAAATCCATGGAAATATTGGATATTGAGTTAAATCATGATAAGACCTACTTGAATATCTATTTAATAACATTAAATATTCAAAATTACTTATTTCTCCATTTTGCCATTTTTTTAATGATTGTTGAATTAAATTATTTAAATTAAATTCATTTAATCCACTAATTTTTCTTAATAAAGTAAAGACTTTAATCATATTTTTTTTATTATTAAATATAATATACATTGATTTTCCATTCATAAAAAATATTTCTATTCCTTCATATTTCATTAAATATCTTCTTGGAAGTATTTCTTCAATATTATTAATATTATACTTTTTTATAATTAGTTTATTCGTAGTATTATTGTTATTATTATTATTTTCATTAAATATTAATATATTATCAATTACTTTAATCATTCCATTTAATGTCCATGGTTTTTGAAAATCTTTTATTTTCATAAATGCTTTTTCTGTAATTAATTCACAATTCATTTCAAATATAATTTGTTGTGAATAATTAATCTCTTCTTTATCACAATATTGTTCAATAAATACATTATGTGAATTCATTTTTTTAATTATAAATGATTCATTATCCATTTCTATTTCTTTATCTTTTCTTTCACTAGAATAAACAAGTGCTTCTTTATGTAAATCAATCATTTCATTTCCTTTAAAATTTCCTTTCATTCCATCAATTTCAATTGATTCAATTTGCCAATATTTTGGTATTCCATTTATTTCATTCATCATTTTTCCATCAAATTTTTTATATTTTCTATCTAATAGTTCTATTTCTTTATTTAATTTTTCTTTTAATTCTTCAATTCTTTTTTCTTCACAATTATTTCTAACTTCATTACCAATAAATCCACAAAGAGTATTTTCTTTATTTTCTTTTTTCTTTCCAGCAATTAAATTAATTTCATCATTACAAATAGCACGATACTCTTCATCATCTAATAAAATATTTGATGCATACCCACTAAGAATTCTTCTTACTTTTGAAAATATAACTCCATTAATAATTTCTTCTAAATGATTACTTTTTCCATTTATTAATAAATCAATCATTTCTTCTCTTTCATTTTCAGAACCATTTTGATAATTTTTAATTTCTTTAATTAAATCATCATAAAATATTTTACTAATATTTAAAAATAATTGTACTAATCTTTCTCTAACATCTAATACTTTTGTTATCATAATTCTATCCATACAATATACTCCATACATAGCAAGTACTTCTTTTTTATTATCTTTTAATTGAACTATTTCATTAGTATTTTCAGTTACTTGAATTGCACGAATAATTCTCATTTTTCTTAAAGCTTTTTTAACATAAGAATTATCTTTATATTTTTCAAAAAATGGAATAATACTTTCAATAGTAAATACTCTAGGAGTGTCTGTTTGAAGAAGTTTTGTTAAAAATAAATTAGTACACATTACTAATGCTTTTAATCCTTTTTCACTTTTTTTTTCTTCTAATGCTTTACTTATATTAAATAATAAATCTGGTAATAATGCATATTCTCCTGAACATTCATCAACTTTAATAAATAATAAATAAAGTTTTGATATATTTTCATAATTTCTTAATGACTCATTTGTTAAACTTCTTTTTAATAATAATCCAATTGTTCTCAATCTTTTAAAATCACCTTTAATTCCATTAATTAATGATTCGACTATTTTAAAATTTATTTCTTTTCCATTACAAATTTGAATTAAATTTTTTGGTTGTGAAATCCAAAAAATTGTTAATTTATCAGCAACTTCATTTGTAGAATATTGAAATATATTTAAATATATTTCTTGAATATTAATTAATTCTGTTATTTTAATTGGATAATTTTGAAATACTCTTAATTCTTCTAATGTAAAAATACCTTCAATTGAAATAGTCAATTGAATTGTTTGTGAAATATTTTGAAAATATGGAAATTTAGAATCAACAAATTCCAAAAATTTACCAATACATTCAAATATTAATGCTTTAATTGTATATTTAAATTTAAATAAAAGATTAAGTAATTCTTGACATAAATAAGAAATAAATATTTCAATCCATTTAGATGAATAATTTATTGATTTTAATAACATTATAAATCCTTCTATAAAAATATTATCATTTTTAATAATATTTAAAGTACTAATAAATGGTTGTAATGTTTGTTTATTTGGTTGAATACAATCTCCCATAGATTTCCAAATAAAATTTCTTAATTCATTAATTTCATTTATTGATAATTTTCTTATCATTTTTGTATGAAGTTTTAAATTAGATGGAAATTCTGGTTGAAAATATAATATTAATAAATCTGATAAATATTGCATATATCTATTATTTCCTTTCATTAATTGAACTACTTTTTGTAATACATATTTTTGAAATGTAAAAGAAAATGGTGTCCATAATCTAAAATCAAATAAAATTGATTGAAATATTTCATATGTTTCAATATCTTTTTCAAAATATTCTGCTAATTTTTGAAATTGATCAAATATTGCAGGAATAACAAAAACTGGAGTAGAATGTGAAATAAT